CATACCATATGACATCTGCTCAGTACATGAACTAGGGGAATGCTGGTCTGGGGATGCTACTTAGGAGCTGGTGGGGCATCAGTCAGTGGGTGGTGAGTGATTGCATTGTTAATCACTTGTTTTGTATATTTTATTAGTACTATTATTACTACTATTTTATTTCAATTATTAAACTGTCCTTATTTCAAGCCACAAGTTTTTTCCTAGTTACTCTCCTGATTCTCTCCCCCATCCCACTAAGGATGGGGAGAGTGAGTGAGTGGCTGTGTGGTGTTCAGTTTCTGGCTAGGACCAAAACCATGAACATTTCAACCAGCAATAGTTGCAAAACCTAGATCATCAGCTTATTGCTGGATTATTTTTAAAGAAATACCCAAGATGTTCAGGAGTCTAAAGGCATTTGGCATCTCATCTTGCTCCTCCTCTTGCACCTGAAGGTGGCATCTCGGCATCCTGCTAGCACAGCATGTCTCATGCTATTTCTTTCTTGTGTTGTCACTGAAGGTTTTTAGAGAGCTGGTATGTGGATTTAAGTTGTAGGAAGTGCTGACATTCCCATGCAGCTGCTGTCATTGCAGGATCCTGGTCTGATTGTATGCCAGCATTTTCACATGACAATTCTTCTGTGCCATAATACTCAGATATTAAGCTGATGTCAGCTGGGAACTGTAGGCTGGAAATTTGGAGGTCAAATCTCCATTGAAATACTAAAAATTTAGACTAAAATAGTGTTTTATTAAAGAAATGTTGCTACAAACAGAAAGTGTATGTTTGTCACAATATGAAACTGGAAAATGTTGTTATGCCTTCTGGAGAGAAAAAAAATCCCAAACCAAAAACATTTGAAATAGGCTTCCAAAAACCAAAGACTCGAACTTTGAATGGCTTGTTTGGGTTACAGCAGTGCCTGGAGGTTCCACCTTAGGTGAGATCGAGACTATGGAGATCGGTGCTGCATACAGCTATAGTACAGAGATACAGCAGATGATGTGTAGGAGAAAGAGAACTTTATTCCCCTACTCCTGGCTCTTACTGGTGAGAGACCTCTAGTACAGACGCCTGTGGATCTGCTTAGGAAAGTTGGAAATTGAACTTGGGTGTTAATTCCTGATCAAATGCTTAACCACAAAACCAGCCCCCACATCAGATCTTCCTGCAGTGGGGACAGAAGGGTTGAACTGGTTTAAGAGCCAGGCTGAATTGAAGTGTCAGCCCTCTTGATGTCGCTCATTACCTCGGAAAGGGGGGGAAGCAATGAACACAGCATTTGTTTCTTTGCTTAAGGTTAGGAATTTCTTCAGCTGTATCTTGCCTAGCCCTTTTGCTTGCAGTTCAGGGAAGGACTGAGTAGTTTTGGTAAGGGTAAGATGATGTGGTGGTTCAGTACTCCTGGAATAGAGTATTTCTGTTCCCATCTGCGTGCTTGTATTACTTCCCTTGTACCATCTCTGGCACTTGTCTGGCCCCTTTGTAGGGCCAGTTCAGGTTACTGGAGGGTTTCTGTTGACACTGCAAAGCATCCAGGGGGTCCTGGAGTCAGAGTAGGGGAAGAGACGAGACCTGTGCTTGGGAAGAGGGATGTTAGAGCAGGACTGCCTGTTTTTGGCAGTAGTGAGCTGCTGTGCAGCTGGGTTTGTAGAACTGAGCTGTATCTCAACTCTAGCATTTTGGACCTTCCCTGTGTTTTTCCCTTGTCCCCATGCCTGCACTTGCGCCCTGCTTTGATTTCTTGCTGTGTCCTTTGCTGCTCTCAACTAGTTAGCCAGTCTAGGCTATTCATGGTTTGGTTTACCTAGAACCCTGCTAAAATCTCATTTCTGCCACGTTACCTATAGGGAGGATGAAAGAAAGCATATAATCTTAAAAAGATATGTGTGCTATCCTGATGAGTAACGACGGACTCTGTGCTGCTTCCTTCTGTTTCTCTCAAGCAGCCTTACTTGTACAAACAGCCCGGCAGCGGCGCATGTGTGTAGCGTTCGTTCGGCCCTAGGTGCTCGAGAACCTGGGAAGAGAGAGTGGAGCCAAAATGTTCCAAGTCCCATGTTGGCATTTCCACTAGAGCCTCCTTCCCTTCCTCGGGATTTGATTTAGTACAATCACTGTGCTGCTGTTTTCTTGTGAAGGATTTATCAATGACAGTGCAGATTTCGGGAATCATAGAATGGTTTGGGTTGGAAGGGACCTTAAAAATCATCCAGTTCCAACCCCCCTGCCATGGGCAGGGACATCTTCCACTAGACCAGGTTGCTCTAAGCCACATCCAGTCTGGCCTTGAACACTTCCAGGGATGGGACATCCACAGGTTCTCTGGGCAGCCTGTCCCAGTGCCTCACCATTTCTCTGTTGCTTTTATAAGTTTACTGTAGCCATGTGACACAGCTCTTCAAGGCTTTGCGTGCTCTACATTGCCAGTCGTCAGTAGCTTTAAGGCCATGGGCATGAGCCCAGCATCCACTGGTTGGTGATCACCAAGTGACTACTCAGTGATCATGGCTTTCTGTTGGAATTCACTTGACCCACAATTGAACCAGTGACCTAGAGGTGAAAGACTCAGGCGTTGTATCAGATTACTAATAATCCAAACCATCTACATCTTTCAAGCTGTTGATAATAGAAACTGTTCGATTTTGTGAGTTACCTTCTGTGCCCTGTGTAGATAATTGGGAATGTTGTGCTAAACTGTGGAGCTTGCTGGCCGACCCTGCTTGCACATGATAGTCTGTCACTTTCAAGAGACATCAAAAGAATGTTACTTAGCCTATTAATTTGGATCCATCAATGGGTTCCTCATAATGAAGGTAATTGTACATTCGTGCCTTTTACATTATCAAATTATGTGAAAATTTTTTGTGTACCTGAGAATTCAAAAGGTCTCTGCAGTCTTTGGGCATTAGATTATCTTATGAAATGGAAAGGCTTGCTTTTTAACCTTGTGTTAATATTTATGTGTTTTGTCTAATTTAATTTTACAGGAATCACTGTTCTTACCTGTAACTGCTACTTGAAAAGGTTAATGTTTTACAAATAATATCATTATTCATGTGTAATAATTATTAGTATCACAAAATAGGGTGCAAAACTCAAATTTTCACCTCCTAGAGATGTATAAACCTGAAGAAACTGAGCTGGCTTCTGTTGAAGTTTGCAGTGATGTAGCAGACTGTGTCTAGTTTTACAGGGTGTTTAAATTCTGATAATGTGGTGTTTGGTGCTAGAAGGGTAGAGAACATTAGTAGTATTTCTTTGTCAGTCATGCATGCCAACCTAAGACTTTTGCTTTCTGTCTTTCTAATATTTACGCAGTATTTAACTTGACCAACAATGTGGATTTGGAGAACACCAAAAAGAAAATGGAGCTGTACCAGAAGGAAAACAAAGAAGTCATTCAGAAAAACAAGATAAAACTGGTTAGTTAGCTTCTCTCCCCTACAATTTTTATTCATTAGTTAAAGAATTAAGGGATTTTCAAAGTGGAGTACTTTCTGTAATATCTTAAAAACAAGTCAAAGCTGATGGCACCATGCAGATTTCACTTTGTGTTCAAAAGCAGTCATACACTAATGTCCTGTGATACTGATTTTTAGTGCTGTGTCAAGAGATTAAGTTGGTAGTTGAAATGTAGTTATGCTTTATTTTGGGAAGGACTTGGAAAGGGGGACAGGCAGTGAAGTCTGCATCTAATACATCACCACCGCATGTGTGCTGGCAGTGTCATTGGACAATGTCCAGGAGAGACCAAGTTCATTCCTCTACCAGGACAATCATTCCTTTCTCATCCAAAGGAAAAAAGGAGTCCAGATGCAGGCATTGACGCTCCCAGGAGAGACTTGTAAAATTGAGGGAGAGCACAGGTCTGGTTTATACAGAATTTAAAATGAAAGATGTCGAAACAGACATTAAAACCTTTGTTCCAGTGCTGATAACAATAACATAAAGAGTATTGTATACATGATCTGTATGCAAAACACAGGGTTCTTTGAGGGTTCATTCATTAAAATATGGCTCAGAGATCATTTTCTTCTTTAAAAATAAACTTGCAGGCACTTAATTCTGTAAGAAAAGTTTAATCTGTTAAATATTTTTTCAGTATAAAACACACGTTGCTGTCGGTTCTTGAAGGAAGATGTCTGCGCAGAGTGTGACGTAACAGGGTTTTGTGTTTGTATTCCAGTTGCACTGAGAACTTGCTTTCAGATCAGTAGGGGTGAAATCCTCACACCCCTGAAGTCTGTGGCAAAACTCCCAGTGATTTCTTTAGCTCCAGGATTTCACAGGAGGAGATTGGAATCTGAAAAATGTTTGTTTGAACCTCTTCCTTTTAAAGGCGGGGAAACTTCCCTAGGGGTCCATCTCTGATGTGTTATCCCGTCTCTGGCACTGTGCAGTATCCTATGTTTCGGAGCTTGAAGAGACCTGCCAAATCTTTGGCTGCATGTCTGTCTTTACAGCGTAGGTGCAGCCTCTGGGGTCACCACGCGAATGGCGCGCTTTGCCTGCAGCCCACCTTCCCTTCACGTATGTGACTCGCGAGGGGCCTGTGCGCAAGCTGCGTGATCGTATCGAGCAGCGCAGTAATTACCCTGCACCCCCCCAAGCCCCCTGGGCCTTCTGTTTTCTGTACTGTATGGCCTTGCTGTGCTAGGGGCTGTCTGGTGGAAGCTGGACAAGCCTGTGTGAATCCAGACTTACTGGAAATCTGGAGATTTCTTTTTAGTTTTAACATCTGAAACCTTCAGTATTTCTTTTTCAGTTGAAACGTTGTCGTGGTTTAACTCTGGCCAGCAAAATACCACAAAAATACCAAGTCCATAATGGACTTGACACAGTTGCTGTTACGAAAAACTGCGTGATCTTGCCCATAAGTTTACCCTTCTCCCAAAGGCTGAAATGGTGCTTTCTCTCTAGCTCTTTTTGTCAGATTTTGGAATGTATTTACCCCTTAAGTGGTAAAAGGTGTCCGAGTATCTCACCTAAACTTCTAATGGATAGTCATTTTCCCTTCGTTCTTAGACTGACAGATTTTTCTGTCCACTGTAATAGTTTGCTCCTGAGGAATATAGATATTCTCTGTCCTTTCTGGTGTTTTTATTACCTTTTGCCTGTTCTAGTTTGAATTTGTGTTTGACAAGCAGAAGAGACCAGAACTGAGTGCAGTATTGTAGCTGAGATCTTAACAGCCTTTTACAAAAGAATGTTGTTTTCCCATTTCTACTGGAAATATGTTGGCGTGCGAGATCCTAAAGCTGTTCTTCTCTTGCAGCACTGTCATATGGGACGTTCAAAAGCAGCAGTGGTCAAATAATGCATTGTATTTTCTCCTCTTTGGTTTCTAAGTGGTGAATTAATGTCTTCAAATCTGAGGACTTGTAGGTCATTTTCATTTCACTTCTGCTACTTCTGTCCCTATGAGTATGTCATTCTTTTTTACAAATCAAAATATTAAGTTACTGAAGCAGTCGCCTCAGGATTTGAATGTTCATCTGTCAATACAAGCCATATTCTTCATCTTTGCAGACAGTTCTAGTGACCTTACTACTTGTGTACCAACCCATCTGTTAGGTGTGTAGGTTTACCTAACAAATGTAGGCCTTGAGGCCTACAAGGAAGCTGGGAGGGACTTTTTACAAGGGCCTGTAGTGACAGGACAAGGGGTAACGGGTTTAAATTGAAAGCAGGGAGGTTTAGGTTAGGTATCAGGAAGAAGTTCTTTATGGATTGGGTGGTGAGGCACTGGACCAGGTTGCCCAGAGATGTTGTGGATGCCCCATCCCTGGAAGTGTTCAAGGCCAGGCTGGACGAGGCTTTGAGCAACCTGGTCTAGTGGAAGGTGTCCCTGCCCATGGCAGGGGGGTTGGAACTAGATGGTCTTTAAGGTCCCTTCCAACCCAAACCATTTCATGATTCAATGCAGGATGGCGCAGAGAAGAAATTTGAGTAGGCAGGTTTGCATGAAGAGGTGACGAACTCTTGGAGGAAGGGTTCTTGTCATTATGAGTTGATTTTTGTATAAATATTTTTATATACTTGCACTCCAAGCAGGCTACAGTTGTCCCAAACTTGCTTTCTTCCTTAAGTATCTGCTATTCTCCAGGCACAGGGTAACTTGTTACTTCCTACTGTGTCACTAGATGTTTAATTTCACTTATTGCTTTGTTCAGCCTTGAAATAGTTTTGTCTGGACTCGATGATGTGAATGTGTTTAAACTTTCTTGAATGTGGTGAATTACACTTGAATGTGGTGACCTACTTTGCTTCTCACCGTTTGCCATCTTGACTTTACTCCAGGTTTCACCATGATCATCTTTATTCCTTTAGATGCTGGGACTGTCCAGGTTATGTTGTTTAGGCTTGACACAACCCTTGATGCCTATTGAGTACACCTCTCTTCTGGTTTACTGTTTTGTTTTGTTTTCCTTTCAGAAAAAGAAATTGATCTGACTTGTGACAATTCTTCCATTTTGCTGTAGTCTGATCTGGGTTAGTTTGTGTATCGGTTTACTTATTTCTGACTATAATTTTTCTGGCCTGGTTCTTCAGACTGGGTCTGTCAGCACTTCCCTACAAGTTTTCATCTGTTTCAGTGCAAATTCCAGACAGTCTTTAGACCTAAATGTGGAAGAGGCTTGGAATGTCATAAAGACCCTGAGCTCTTCAGTTCTGTTGACTGAAGTAACTAGATCCCTTAATTCTCAGAAATAACTTCAAAATTAGCAACTTGAGGATTTTTTTTTTTTGTTTGTTTGGTTGTTTCCTTTCATTAAATGCGAAGAGAATCTGGTGTCAGGTGGTCACTGGTTGGTGAGCAGCTTTTTACCAGTGTCACTGCTGGTGACGGGATGAAAGCAGCTTCTGTTTGCTCCAGGGCAGGTGATGAGATCTGTCTGCTCTCGCATCCAGGCGTAACTGGGTCTCACGGGGACCCATTGCCTTGATCTGCCTGGTAAAGGGACGTTTTTCAGCGTATTCTGGCACGTTTCAGGTGTCTATGCTTTACAGTATAACTTCAGGTCTTTTTGTTACAAGAGCAGATTTTACTAAGCTCTTGACTGCAGTAATGTTTTGCTGGAACTGATTCCATGGATTAATCATCCATTTAAGTTTTATTAATTTTAATTATCGCTGTTTTTACTGAACCTTCCTTTGCTTTAGTATTTCTGGTGGGGAAGATTTGGAAAATGTTTTCTGCATGTTGTTGTCCTATATCTTCTTGCCACCAAATTAATGTTCTTTTGATCCCTCTTCTGTATAAAGTTGTTTAGCTGTAATCCTTCCTCCCACCCTGGGTCTTGAAGCTCTCCTCTTTTTTTTTTTTTCTTCACTGTGATTTTCAAATATAGATGACTTAATAATTTACAGGTTAAAAAACGCTTTTCAAGAAGTAAAATCTGAAACAAAAGCTAGACACTATGTCCTAGTTATTTCTTTCCTTTCTTCTCTTGTGGCATATGACTTCGAGTTACAAGAAAAATTCCCCATTTTCTGAGATGTGATGTTCTTTACAGTTCATGCTTAAATATGTTTTAGCTTATAAGCTTCTCTGTGAATATTCATGGACTTGTGATTTCTTATACTTCTGCTACACCACTGTTAAGAAGCACACAAGGTGTGGCTGATCAGGGGGTGATCAGAAACAGTGTTGTGGGGTGATATTTTTGGTCACCCACTGATAGTGCTTGAGAAGTAGGAAGTGTGGGATCAGAGAGAGCTGCCTGCGTTTTGGGGTGAAGGTGTAAGTGAAAACCCATTCTCTAATATCTAAAAAACCAAGACTGAAATTGTTACTTCCTACCAGACAGCAGCAAAGTAAAAAATGTAGTTTTGAACTGGACAATAAGAGGAAGTAGAATCATCATAATCACCTCAAAATTCTACCTAAAATTCTACCTGAAAAGAGAGAATTTGGCCGCGTTCCAATTGCTTGGTCTCTCCTAGTTCCTTTGTTAGGCAGCAGGGCTGTAGGTGAACTCTGCTCACCCAGAGAGGAAGATTGCTATGAGCTGATGTCTAACTTCCATTTCAGACGCGGGAGCAGGAAGAGCTGGAGGAAGCCTTAGAGGTAGAGCGACAGGAAAATGAAGAAAGGCGACTGCTCATACAGAAGGAAGAACAGCTACAACAGATGATGAAGAGGAAGAATAAGCAGGCACTCCTGGATGACCTGGTGAGTAACAAAACCAGAGACTTTGAACGCTCAGTAGAAGAGCAAACAGCCAGTACATTGACATTCATCTACCACAGTTAACTGTGTGGAAGTAACACATCTGCCCCTTTCTGTTTGCCTGTGTTACTGCTCTTTTGCCTTTCGTTCATCTCAATGTTACAAAGAATCTGGCTTTGGTAAGCGAAGGACTGGAGGAAGAGTGATTCTGGGATTCAGAGACTTAATTGGACTCATTGTCCAGAATGTCCAGTGCTGGTTAGGAATGAATTCTAGGAAAGCCTTCTTGGCTGTTTCCACACAAAATTAATCCTGGTTAAGTTTTTAACAAATAAAAATGTAGAAGTTGTTTTGGTATTTTAAGAAGGCTATTTTCCTGGTTCTACCTGTTTTGAGTTTTTTGTTCTTTTCCTAGTGAACTCCCATTGAAAGATCTTTTCTTGTTGCTAATTGACACGTAGAGTTCTATTTCAGAAACTGATTTAGTCACTTGAGCCACTCCACCAGTTTACTTGCTAGCTTGACATTTGAGTGTGTATCTGAAGAAGAGCTAGTATAAAAGTCTCGGTCTCTACTTACTGTCGTGAAAGTCACCGGCTTTGACTGTGATCCGGGATGGCTTGTGTTAGCATAGTCACTGATTCGGTGACTACTCCACCTTGAACCTGATGCGCGACGGGTGAGGGTCTGTCGCGTCCAGGCCATGGAACTGCCTACTTGCATTGCCCTCAGCTGATGAGAGCTGCATCTGCTTTGGTGCCTGTCTGATTGTGCAATTTGTGAGGGGTTAGAGAGGAGCAGCTGAGTTGGTTCGGCCGTAATGTGAAGTCCTGCCGCTGCTGGCTTGTTTAAGCAGTCCTGAAGAGGGGCTGACAGTCTGGTGTGTGGTGTTAATCGGGAGCCTCTTAATGAGCTCAGCCCCCTCTGCAGTGGAGAGATGGTGGAGAACAAGGAACAGTAACCTCACGAGTTACTCGAGCATTAGCCAACCCTAGTGTATGAGTTGCTCCTTTTGAAGCCAGCGAAGCTTGGGTTCATTGGAGGGTGTACAGACAACTGAAGAAAAATTCAGGCCACTTCTGGACATTTAGTCTTGTCTTCGGCTGAATTTACTACTGATTCCGCATCTGAAGTGCGATGTGGGCACAGGGGAGCTCAAAAAATGCTTTGTTGTTTAAACAACATTCACACCTCAGTGTGTTTATACAGGTGCGTGTAGAAACTGTCATGCATGCACACATTCACGTGCTCTGACAGCCATAAGGTCTGTGGGTAACCTTGAAAGAAATCAGAAAAAAGTAGTATGCATGCCTGCATACATGTGTGCAGCTATGTCAGTGAGGTTTAAAGCTGCTTGGCAGATTTAAATCAGAATTTCTCTCATTTCAGTTTATTTCACATTAATATGGCATTAATTCCTGCTTTGTGTTCTCAGTTCTTAATCAAGATAATGATGCTTTTCCTGGAAAAGTAGAGTTCCCCTTCAAAACAGTGCAGAAGGCACTGACATGAAGAGAGCATCGATGTGCAGTTCTGGGGCCTCCTGAAGAGTTGCCTTTTCCTAAGCCAGTTCTGGCAACCTGGCACTGGCTTTGCTGAAAGGAGGTGGTGTGTCATTTTTTTTGTAGACAAAAGCAGAGATGAGCAGAAAGTCTCTCTGAAAATCCTCAGGTCTGTAACTTTGCATCCAGCAGTCTCTTTTCACTTCAAAGGTAAAAGTGCTTACAGTCCACACAGTTAGGAATAGTTTGAGTAGTGGATCAGTTAATAGAAACTCCACTATGAACTTGAATTCCACGGCTCAGAATAAGGATTTTGAACTGGTTTCTGACTTCTTAAATCCTGTTCTAAAACACACTCTTAACATATTAGAGACTAGTAGTGGTGTGTGTCTTTTCCTTTTTCCACACAGCAGTTGGATTTACTGGAAACCTACTTCAACAGATGGCTTGTGGAAAGAGTGGTTCTAAATAATCCTTAAAACATGACCAAAATAGGTAGTTTTAACTGTGATTGCATATGTATTGCTATTAAAAATATCTTAATATTCTTAAAACAACAGAAAGGTGATTTTTAACGGCTGAGGAAGGCAACTGGGCAGTTTTAAGTTGTGTCTCTGTTTATGAAGAGGCACTGTCAACTTAAATTTGAGCCAAAAGTTGTTTTGTAATACTAAAGGTTTATAAAACCAGCGCTGAAGTGTTTGTGTAATGACTTACAAAGTCTCTGGAAAACCAGCAGTTGTTAACCAAATAAACATTTCCTATAGTCTCTGAAATCCCTCTAATGCTGTGATGCAAACCTGAAAATGAAGCTGATCGTAAGTAGAACTTAACTGGCAGCAAAAGCCAAGCATAAGCAGTAGCAGTGTAAAAAATTACATTAAACAAAAAATAACCTTCTATCTGTGGTTGCTGGGACTGTGCTAAACCAACAGGATTGAGTTCTGGCTACAGCCGTGCCAGTGGCAAACTACTGACTCGGCAGGAGCGTGAGTGTAGAGGATGGGGGAGGCCGACGTTTCACCTGTTGGTTTTGTATCCTCTGTTTTGGATGCATCGCCTCGTGCTGGGAACCGATGGCCCCCTTGACCTGGGTCTTTGTTGTTTTTTTACAAGATTCCACCCCCCCACTGGGCAGCAAGAGAAAATTTGTCTGAAATTTATTGTGTGGTGCAGGTAGAGATGTGAGGCCTCTCTCCTTCCAAGGAGGCAATTTGCCTTTGGTGCTTAAATCCTAATGGCTGAGGAGATTCACAGTTTCTGATATGTATTGTTTAGGCTATTTTATCATAATGAATAAAGGTCTCAGTTGCTTACAAAAGTGTGTGAGAATACTGTCCCATCTTCAAAGACCTTATAATTTAGACAGTCCAGAGGCAGGGGAAAAGGCGTGGAAATGTGTGGTATTTTGGCCTGCAGCAGGCTTGGTTTCTGGCCTGCCTGAGGAGCTTGGTGGCTCCTGCAGAAAGGACTGGCCCTGAGCCCAAGGCTCCAGGATCCCCTCCCTCGGCTGGGAGCTGGGGGGGAAGGCCAGCATCGCGTGCTGGAAAGGTGAACAAGGCATCACAGGCAGCTGAGGCTCCATGAGCAATCTGGTGCTTTGCCTAGACTGTTGCCTGTTTTGCCTCCCAGTACTAAATTAGGCAGATTTTATATTCCCTTCACTGTCAGTGACCTCTTTTACAATAAAACACCTTATTGTAGTTTAGACTTGTAGTCTCAAATGCATTTTATATATTATTGGAAGGATTTTGTGTGGGGTTTTAAAATTTATTTTTAACCTTCTAGGCCTGGATAATTGGGGCTGAGTAAAATATTAAAGCACTTCCTTTATTTCCTGTATAAACTCTCTCACCTATACGCAGAGGTTTACAAATCTGCTCCTCGATGCCTTCTGTGTTGTGGGACTTTCCCTCACCCTCCAAGAGCCCAGATTTCCCAGGCATGAGCAGAATGGCACTGCAGCACACGGCATAGAGGCAGGTTTTCCTTGGGCTGGGGCATAGCTTGGAGTCAAGCAAAGGGCGAGGTGCCTTAAAGACATCATGTTCTTACTTTCACCAGCACTTCAGGGCTTTTGGAGACAAAGCTTTCAGAGATTTTTGCATATAACTAGCTTTGTTCATGTTGTTAGACAGCTTTTCTCATACAGAAAACTGCTAGTGTGGGTAAAATGCTTACAGGATTGGACCTTTCACGTGTGTTAATAGTTAACAGAAGGGCTATGTGTGTATTAGAATGGACAAACAATCAGGGACGCGGTGGCTTGCTGGCGCAGTGTGGGTTTCCCACAGTTGAGTAATCTGGTTACCGGTCATTGTGAGAGCTCTTGAGAAGCTGGTACAAAAATTGGGTTCCTTTAGTTATTGTACTAGAGGTTTAAGGAATACGAGGGGGCAAAAAGCGAACCAGAGAATGCTTCACACTGTTTCCTTCTCCCCCAGCATATTAAATCTGATTAAGAGAATCCAGCATCCTTCAACTCTGCAGACAGCTAGCAGTACGTGCTGCTGAGTGGTTGTTACAGACGTGTACAGCACTGAAGATGCAGCCTGTAAACTAGTGCAGTGGTGGTCCAAATTTTCTCCTAGGTGTACAGAAGACATCCCTTATTACTACAGTTTAGGTTTTTAACCTCTTCCCTCCCTCTTCCTACTTAATCACAGAAGTGTAAGTAGGATCCTGTGCCTCAGTAGTTGTATTTGACTCTGGACCAGATCTCATCATGTGAGATTTTTCTGCTTTCAGCAGTTGCACAGTCGGTTAGTGTAAGAAAAAATAGAGAGGTAAGAGGACTGGGGAGCGTTGTGAAAAGTCAGTGTGCAGCATGACCGTTCTTCACGATCGCTTCAGAAGATTCGCCTAGGGTACCATGGGCAGCAAGGCATCTTGCGGCGTTAAAAACTTCTAACTTCTTACCCTGAACTGCTGCAAGTAAAAAATCGCTGTCCAGTTTATTGTAGTTTGTTTGGTTTTGTGAGTAACAAATACGGTTTGTAGTTCAGTATCTGCTTGGTTCTGTGAAACAGAAGTACGTGTGACATCTGAAAGCCTTAGGAATGAAATATTGCACCGGAGCCATCCAGGAAGAATCTGTCTGCACTTCCCAGCTCTCAGCTTTGCAGTCATACTAACTAGGAAGCCTCAAGGATTTCTGTGTGCGTGTGGATAGTCACATCAGTTTATTAGAAGATTACTGGCCCATAATTTTCGGACTCTCTGAAGACTGTAGTGCATATACGTATGTTAATAATAATTCTGTTCTGTTCAGGGCGTTTAAGTAGTTCATTTGCTTAACTATTCATTTTACTACTTTTTATATATATATATTTTTTTTCCAAATTGGCTGGCTTCCCTAAAAATAAGTTGGTGAAGGAGAAAATAAATATGCTGTTGGTTGCACTTACAATAGTGCCATTGTGCAAAGCAGAGCGAGGATCATTTCCAAACGGCCTCAGGTGAAATCTAATGGGAAACAATTTCAAACTGGTCTGAGTTCACTGGTAGAAGAATGCGTCTTAGATAAACATCTGATCCAAGTTATACTGCTTGGTATTATTCCTTCTCTGATTAAGTTCTAATTTTTTTTTTATTTTAATAAATATAGTTGCACTGACTAGTAGGAATAAGGAGCCTGTTATGTTGTCTTTAATGTGGATTCTATAAAAACGGTTGTTTGCAGGTTACTGTGATTTATGAGGTTGCTGCAGCTTTTTCTTATTACTGAAAATGATCGTTTTGTGTAAACTGTTTCTCATAGAGAGGGTACTTAGCATTACGCTGCTCTGCTGGTGATGGCCTTTCAGACACAGCTTGCAGTTTTGAAGAATATGCAGCGTTAATTAATATTTGTTTTGGTTTAGCATTTAAATTTGTTCCTCATATTTACAGGAGAGCTCCAGTCTTCCTGCTTCACTGCTTTTAGCTCAGCATAAGGACAGATCTACTCAGCTAGAAGTGCAAATGGAAAAACCCAAACCTGTCAAACCAGTCACGTTTTCCACTGGCATCAAAATGGTAAGACTTGCTTGTTTGTTTTTTTTTTTTTTTTAGTGCCTTTCAAAAGACCAAGGATTTCCTCATGTGAAATTTAGAGGTTATTTAAACCTGAGTTGAGCGTTATATAAAATAGACTGTTCTCTTACAATTAAATAAATAATTAGAAATTGATCTAAGGATTTCATCATTCTGCTAATTGGAATATATGAAATATTTTCATAGCTGTTTTTTTTAAAACTATGCAAGCCTTCTTTCAGGGAAAGTTGTGGTGTCCTTGAATGATTTTTGTCTCATTGTCTCACTAAAGCCAGCACATACACCAATTCTGAAAGTTGAAATTTGGAAGTTCAAGAATAGGCTGCACTTTCTTGAGTTTTACTTTAAACACTGGAATAATCTGAGTAGGAGACGAACAATTTAGAGAATGGTGCTGAGTGGTTAAGGATGCTATTTTCATTGTTGTTGGACTCTAGGAAGCAATAAGTATTTTTGCAAATGTTACTGCTGTGGTGACAGCTAAAGATCTGTCAGCATTCCCGTTCTTTAACAACACGGGACAAGTACGCCTCAGCCTGTGTGTGGAAACGTAAAGTTTTGGGGGGAGAGGGGTTTGTTAGGGGTGGGAGTATGAGTTACTGCTCATTTTTACACCTTACTGGTTTCCTGTTTTGTTTTAAATCTCTGTACTTTTTTAGACTTTGTTCTTAGAATCGTTTACCATTGTCAATTCTACCCTCCTCAACAGACCAAGACACCAGCAAAGCAAAAACCATTGCATCAAACTACTCTCCCATCAATGCCTCAATTTATTTTGTCAGGGATGTTGGTGCTGTGTTAATTATTCCTCCAAAGAATTCACAATACAGAAGCATTTGCAGCTTATTTTTCCGAAAGCAGTGTCAGCTTTTGCAAGGTTGTGCAGGTTGTTTTCTTCTTTTCCTGTAGTATAAACTGTATCTTCTTTTACTTTTAAAATCTAAGAGTCTGGGGGAGATTGATATGCTCTGTGAGACCGTTTTCTTTTTGTGTAGAAAAGCTGGTGGACAGTAGAAGTTCTATTGAAAAAACATCCTGCATGCCTGTACTTTTACTTGCTGTTAAAACGTGTCGTCAGAATTTCATAAAGCTGTTGGCTTTTCTTCTGGGAAAAGGGTGAAAATCGGCTTATGCTACACGATGAGGACAGCAAAGTACTTTCTGCTGATACTGAACGCGGTATGTGGTAGTGGACACTTCACATTTGGAGCCCTGAGTAAACTTCATCCACGAATGGTGAAAGACTTGGTTGAGGCGATTTCTTGCATCTTGACATTTAAATCTTACCTTTTGGAATAATAGGGGATACTCTGATATAAAGTAACTGATTGTTACTTTATCAGTGTTCAGAAAGTGTGGTTAGATGACTTATTTAATTTGCTTCCTCCCAGACGAACAAAAAAACCTCACCCTGATTGACCTTAGTCCGAGATCAAAAAAGAAGGGCTTAAAAATACGATTAGGAGTAGGTACAGTTAACAAAGCTATGGATAGGAATATTTGAAGTTGGTGACTGCTCTTTATGGAAAATGGATTACATCAAGCTAAATGGATTTATACTGATAAAATTACAGGATTTGTTGAGAAAGGTGAATGTTTTAGTATTTTCTTTATAGGGTGCTCGACTTAGTTATTACATGACATTGATTTTTAGAATTGTATAGAAATTACATGACACAGTAATAACAATACTGAGACTCTGCACTATAAACGAATTAACTGGCTAACTTGTAATTTCTGAAGTAGCTATTTGTTACCACAGCACGGGCGTATTTCTGTGGGAGTTCTGCTAGGACACAGCTCAGTGTTTGGAAACAGATGTTGAATTTCTATGGATGACGTGCAAATTAGCAATTTACAGGGCTGCTTTGACAAGCTGGCCTCATTTGAATGAAATGTGTTTTAATATGGCCAAATGCAAAATTATAAATAGAAGAGTAAATAACAGGCTCTGTGGAGAGGATTTTGGAAGTTCAGCTAATCAAGCGGACCAGTGTGGCCGCAGCCTGTGTGTGCCTTTGGGACATACAGCAGTAACTGGGAAGGGACTCTTCCTTCTGAATGCAGTATGGGGAAGACTCACGGACTGGAGAGTTCTGCTGGCTGCATTTTGACTGCAGAAATCAGAAAGAACACAGAGGATCCACAAAGGTCCTTTCAAAGGCAGAAAGGCTACGCTTTGTACTGTATTCTGCCTTTAGTTTAAGAGAAGGTTGGGGTATGACTCGATTTCGGTAAGCGCCTCCTCCACAGGGAAGGTGCCGGCCACAACAGTGCGGCAGTACATCTAGCAAGCACCAGTAACCTTAGTTAAACAAATAGGAGCTACATAGTATCTGACGGAACAAATTAGACCTAAAGTTCACAATGTTCCAGTGGATAATTGACCTCACTGTTAAAATTGACTCAGGAATGCGATGAAATCTCTAATTCTTGATGTTTTTAGGTCAGGGCTGTGATGCGTCTTGGGAAGTTACTGTAGTCAAACACAAGTTGTTCGGTTCAGTAAAGAAAAGCAACACAGCTGGTTGTATGGGACTTGGTGGGGTTGATGATGTGTGACAGTGTGTTCTAGCGGCAGTGTAAGGGCAGTTCCCAGCTGGGAACCCGCCTTACAGAAACTCTGGTTTCTGTGGAAAGCCTGGTTTGTGCTCACTGCTGGAGTTTCAGCAGCACGTATTTAATGAATCACTATCTACGTGCTTTTATTTTTTTCCTAATAGTTTGGTCATTGACCTTTTCTGGTGGGTGTTTTCCTTAATTTTGTTTCAAAAGGAGCAAATCCAGATAGAGCTAGCTGAGCTGCCGGCTAATCCAGAGCTTGTGTTTACACAAAGGCTATGAAAATATGCCAGTTGTGGCAATCTCTCCCCTTCCCCCCCTTTTTTTTTATTTTGTTTGAGCTTGAACATGAGTGTTTTTCCTGGGATGGTCTTGGTCAGAGATGTTCTTCAGCCTGACTGGTAATTGGATATGTTTCTCGGTTTCTGAATTGAGGCATGCCCATTCTAGTCTCCTGGGCAATGCTCAAGGAAGTTGGCTTATTTAAGGTGTCGTATTAGTGCTCTGGAGTTCTGTGCTTGCAGGGGCAGGAGGGAGTGCCTGTCACTCGTAAGCTAAGCAAGAGCATCCCCTATAGCACGCCAGACAATTAGCTCATGGACATAGGGTCTCCCTTCGCTTTTCCTGTTGTTAAATTGCTTTTTTTGCTCCTTTCAAGTGGAAGCTGGTTTTGATTTGCAGTCTGCTCGTTAACTTTTGCATTTTATTTCAGTAAATCATATCTTCTGTGTATGAAGCATACCTTCCTGATGAATCAGTTTGATTTATCGCTGTAAATAGGGGGAGAAAGTGCTTCAGAGTTTTCTGCTTATCATGCTTGTCATATCAAGAAATAGGCTTCCAGCGTATCTGAATATTTAAAACAATCTTATTAAACTTAATCTCAAATCAGTGTAAAGCTAAAAAAGAATTTAGCAATCTTAATTGTTGCAGTAGTGCTAAAGTTGCTACTTCCTGTCAATGCTTGTACTTTTAGATTTTAGTAGCCGTCAAAAAGAGCACAGATTACGGAATTGAATGGCATTTTTAGCATTTCTAGAGCTTATCAGGGTGTGCAAAACATCTAAGTTGTGGCGATGGAACTGTTCTTCTCCCTCTTGGTGAAAACAGCGACTGTTTCTGGTTGGGAGGTGGCTTTAATGTGAAGCTAATTTTAACATGTGAAAGAGGTGCTCGTGTGCATTGCACACGAGTGGCAGTTTGCAAATGCAGCCGGAATTAATTTCATTACAGTAATTTAGTTTTTATGTCTCTGCTGTTTACAGGACTGTAGGAGCCTTTTGGTGCTTGTAGATCTGTGCTTTACGTTACCATTGCAGTTAAATGCATAGAACTGTGGATGTATTTAGCTCCTCTTTAATTCACTTGGAACTGGGATCACGCAAACGTTTGAGCCTGCGGGTCAGCTATTTACATGTTTGCAAGAATACCAGTGCCTCGTGCTGGCCCAGCCGCGCGCTCGCTTCAGCACGTTTCAGGCTGCGTGCCCTGTCCTTTTGCTCTTCCTTCCAGTTTTGTTTCTTCACTTCCTTTCCCCGGCCTCCCAGGAAGCTTAGCCTCTAGTGATGGTACTCTTGAAGTAATTTAATATAGTTAAAAACTCAATTACCTCTAATTGGATTGCCCACATAAGAAGGAAAAGAACATAGGTGTCCTCTGGTCTGGTACCACTTGGGAGAGTTTGTCATTTCTGTTTTGTACCCTAATACTACGAAACTCGTGTAATGCATTGTGGACTGTTCAGTTTCTATCATGGTTTTTGTTTCATGACTTAATAGCAGTGGGAAAATATGCTAATAGGAGTATTAGTGCAGTGTGTTGTACATGCTTTGTCATTACTGAGATAGTCGCTAACCCTCTGAATTTGCAGTTTAAATAGATGTGTCAGGGAGAGAGGGGAACCAGGTGCCCGGAGAGGATGTACTCACCCAGGATTAGACAGCAGAGCAGCAGCAGAGGGAGGAACAGGATCCAGCCCTACTGAATTCCTAACCTCCTGTCTCTTCTCCTGAGCCAGGCTCCCTCTCCTGTCAACAGCACCTCTAAATGGCAGCGAATTAGGAGTGAAATATCTCCTTCGGCTTTTGCTTCTCTGTCCAGATCACAGCAGCGACGTTACATTTAACTTTCCGTGTGTCTGAATATTACCAGGATTTTATTCCAGCTCTTGCAGTTTCAGGCTGTTAGCAGCTGAACGCTGGGAGAGCAATGTGCGGTCTCAAGCAGCCGGAGCTTGCAGGAGGGAGCAGTCGAATCAGTATCTGGAGGACTGGATCTGTGTCAGACACAGGATGTCTAGGACACCTCAGGAATGCACGTTTCTACTCAGCTGAGCCTAACAAGTGTTAGGGAATGCATTTCTTGCAGCATTATGCTTGCAGGACTATTCTAATGGGAAATAAGGTTCTTATGTTATGTGG